CATGAGTCCGCCAGTTCAACTCATTACGACCGGCTGTAGCTTCTACGCGATGAGCCCGCCTGCTCAGCTCACCTCGACCGGCTGTAGTAGATTGTTCGGTGAGAGTCCGCCTGCTCAACGTCCCACCACCGATGGTTCGCATGCTGTGGCACCCAGCATCGGCTCCAGATGCGCCAGAGCGCTCCCCGGGAAGCGACCGTAAGTTATACTTCTTCTTCTCAGTTTCCATAAGGTGCTCCATTGAATGGGTTTGGGATCGTTAGTTGGATAGGTGCTAGTATCAGGTCTCCGGCCACTCCAGAAGCAGAGGCCCAACACAATGATGAGTTGTTAAGATCATAACCAGTACCCGATACCCGTAAGCCCCCCCACCACGGCAAGGTGATCCCCCTGGGGGTTATTATTATTATTATTATTATTGTATGAGTTTGCAAATATGCTTTGAGGGTATAGTGTATTGGTAGGTTGAGAGTGTAGATAGACAAATGCAAGTGCACTATTAAAATAACATAAAGATAATGGTAAATACATTTGTAGCCTACAGTAATATCGTGATATTTAGTTTTTAAAATTATATATCTTGACTTCACTAAATAGTATATGGATATGAGTCATTGTGCCCTTAGTGTAGTCAAATCTGCTTCACAGGAGATCAATTTTGATGGGCCACCTTCTTTTTGTCGAATATATACCCTTCCATACGAAGTCCAGCAGCCCGCGTATTTATTGTTTTTGACAGATTGACGTGCTAGGAAATATAAACGCCTTCCATATGAAGTGAGAGACTCCGAAACAAAAATAGGTTTAGATTCGCCGGCTAACTTCAGATGGCCAGTATTCAGTTTCTCTTTGTTCTCCTTATAGAAAGTTTTCGAGGTTTTCAACATATTTTCTTTAAGTGTAGTCGCTGAAAATTCTACTATTACTGGAGCTATTTTATTTTGTGACATTTTCGGCCTAAATATGTGCCTCTGAGAGCAATCACTTTCTGGGTTCGTTGTACGGTTGATAATCCAGTCTCGTCTATATTGTAAATAGACTCAGGGCCGAAGCAGTGCCGTTCATATACAGTTTTAAGGTTTTCAAAAAAATCTCCGACATTTTTCTTATTGAAATTTTCTTATTGTGGCCCGTGAGAGACTGGTAGCTTCTGGTGTCCTTATCAAAAGCTACGGTTGTCTTTTAAAAAATCCCCTTATCCAGTCTTTGGATGCAAGTTTCTTCGCTGTATAGTTATCTGGAATTTTTTTTTCAATGGCAGTGGCGTATTCGTAAACCAATTCGCGTGCCTTCAGTTTTGACAGTCCATGGTTTAGTTTAGATGATGTTACAAGATATTTCGAATTTTTTTTCTTCTTCGTCTTTCGTGAATATTTGAGATGATATAAAGGAGGCTGACCGATTTGGGCCAAGGTGCGGACAGCAGTTTTATAAATAAATAAAAATGGTCATAAATTTCTTTTATGTTAAAATAATTATGAGTACAATTTGGTAGTATCAAGTGAACATATATAAAAAAAGTATTTCAAAATATTTATCATTATTTATGACGTACATCCGTTCATTTTGTTAGCGAAATGTGTCGTAAGTGTTGCATACAAAAAATAAGTAGTGGAAAAAGTGATTAAAAAAAACACACTAATAAATAATAGTCTCACTTACAAAGTACTTTGAAGTCTGTAATACCTATAATTATTTCTATTTTCTATATATATATATCTTCTTTTAAGACAAAATATATGTCTAAAAATAAATTGTGATGAAGAATATTAAACAGCACATGGGTATATTTTTTTCTTACTCTAACAACATTTGACTAATGTCATGTCTGGCATTGGCTTAGGCGCGCACGGTATTACTATTTGTTATTTGTTTATTTTTGGATATTCTATTCAAAATGGATTTAAAAAATTCTTCTCACGCCAACATATGTTAGCATGTGGAACATATCAAATAAAACAGGCTAGATCATATTTTGGAGAACACATAAGAAGTGATGGTTCATATACACTATACAGTCGAGGTTTGTATAGAAAGAGCCAGCAACCTTTTGCCAAGTCTTCCTTCAGCCGACAATTGCACATTATTAAGGGCCAAAATACAAAGCAGACACATAAGAAGGAAAACATATTTATTTATATATTATTTGAAAGTAATATAGAGAATTTAAATGCAATTAAAGAGTATTACTGTAACTGCATTGTTTAGTTTAGGCACTTCATTTTGTCTCCCGCTTTGCTAAGGAGGGAAGTGATGTACTGTATTTCCAACTCCTCCAATTTTCTTCTGATTAATTTCGTTGCGGGTCCCAAGACAGTTTAATTTCTTCCTGGGACTTCCCGAGTGTCATAACTCGGTCGGTGTGTTCGTGGGTCACTGCTGTAGATCCTGGTGTACAGGAGTTACAGTGTTGGGCGTGTGGGTGGGATTAGTCCCAAACACCACCCCGCCTTAAATCCCGGTGGGGTGACGGCCCGAGGGGGTTCCCAAACGTAAAAAAAAAGGGTTTGTAGTTTTCTGTGGTGTATAATTAGAGGGAATGTCAGGCATTCAGACTGTAATTTTAGCTTTGTTTGATGGATACAGTAACACACACACATAAATACACTGCGGGCGATGTAAGCCCATGCATCACCCGTCAGAACTCCCCCCCCCCCCCTTCCATTCACACAGACAGATGAGAGATACACAAATTTCTACATAGATACATAGTGTGTGATTATCAAATGAACATTTATGAACTGAGTAAACCTATGGAGTGAAAAAAGGAGGATAATTTTAACTCTAGTATGTTTTAATACTATTGTATTAAAACATACTAAAGTTCATAAAACTAACAATGTTTTGCAGTCTATTACCATTCTTAAAAATTATCCCTTGACTGAAGTTCTAAAAAAAAGAAAAATATTAATGTATAGCTAATAAATAATATAACTATTCTTTATTTTAAGAAATAGGTATTATTACGATGGTGACAACATATCTCTTAGATCGCTAATTTTTTGCTCATTCTTTTATTTTAATTTTTGGGAATACTATTTCAGGTGTTTTCGAATGAATGAGGATAGCCTTCCTTCGAGAAGAGATAGGGTTACACACTAGTGATTTATGGACTGTAGCTTCTGGAAGGTAAGATATAAACAATTTTTGTTTTCACAGTTATTCATAAAGGTTGTCAAACATGAAACAAACCTTTTTCAACCCTCAATACCAATGCTTGCAATATTAATACCTCGCAAAATGTAATGTTGATGTATTGGGGTTTATCTGCGAAATTCACGGTGTGTCGGAATCGGACCGACTAAAACCCACGGTGTGCCACTGTGCGCCCGGAATAGGAGGGATCCGGGAACTCGTTTTTAAGACATCCGGACCCCTCCTAGCACCTGCCCGCAATGGCACCGACTGCTACTACCCTCCCGGAAATCAGCCGTCCGCCGATATACTTCGGCGAGCACTTCCTCCTCCAAATCCCACGGGGGAGTACCGGCCAACGTGCAAGCCACCTCCGTCGAAACGGTGCGGTAACCGCGTATGGCTCTATCCGCCAATATCCTCTGAGGGCGCCAGAGGCGTGCCCTATTCTGGGCGGTCAGAGCCAGTGCACCGGACAGTGCCATTGACCGGACAAGACGCTGGGTAAGACGCAGCGCCGACCAGCTTTGGAGCGAGCTGTCGGAAGTGCTCGTCAAAGAGCCACCCCCCGTCGAGGATCAGACCCAGATACTTTATCTGGGCCCGAATCGGTACCAGGACCGAGTTGACCACGATTGAGGGGCCAGGGGATGCAACACGACGGGGCCCATGGAATAAGAGTACCTCCGTCTTATCCAGGGCAACCTATAACCTATCCGTGGTGTCCAGGCGCGCGTCTTGAAAGTTCGCCCCCCCGGGCTGTGACTAGAGTGTCATAAGCGTAACAGATTACGCCCAACCGGTGGGGAAAGCGTCATCGAAGGGCCCAGTCGTACCCTATGTTCCACAGGAGTGGTCCGAAATCACAAAGCACCATTTCGGTCCTCGTACATGACGGTACGCTCCTTTAAATAGTCTACCACTAGCCGCCTTAGGTACTCTGGCATTCCGTGGTATTGTAATAATAATATAATAATAATAATAACACGAAAATAGTAACAATAAACCTGAGGAATTTTTGGACAATTTTAAACAAAAATTAGCACTTAAAGTTAATAGACTTAGAAGACACAACAGGGTATTTCTATGATTTAGTGCAATTCTAACAGATATGTGAGAAAATTTTCGATTCCTTGTTTTCAACTTTCCCGAGAATTGGTATCAAGAACATACACTATTTATGTGATTTATACAAAATTCTACGCATTACATAAGTAGATATTGACCGATGAAATTCTGTACTGCTGATGGTAATGAAAACAGTGGAGTTGGTAATGAAATTTGGGACTAAGGTAATGAAAAAAATTGCTGGTAATGAAATTAGTCTAAGATAAATGAATAAAAAATGCTGGATGAAGATGAAGTAAATAAAATCTCGTAAGTTTTACACAGTCAGAGTTTATTCTTTAAAACATAACAAAAAAATATTCAGTCTCCCATTGCAAATTAAATAAGTTATCTAATCGGTCATGTCTTACTTAAGAAGCTACGAGTTGAATTAAATATAAAATTATAAGTACTTAACATACTGATTCAAAATCACTAGAGTTATAGTAAGCTCTGGTTTCTTGTCGAAACATATTAAAAAACAGTTATATAATTTTTAAATTGCAGTTATGTCATGCCGCCAAAAACATTACTGCGTTTTAAACTGAACAGGGCAGATAATCTCTCTTACGAATACAAAAAAAATATTTAACAAAAAACAGTCTCAAGCATGCTAAAAAAAAAAACAACTTCTTAGTTCTACATTCCTAACAATGTCAATTCTTTGGATTTGGTAGATTAAAAAATATTTTCATCATCAGAATCATCAAAAAATGAGGTAATACGTATTTTTTTCTTTAAAATTCTGACTTCTTCACTTATTTTTCCTCCACTGCTACTATCATCTGAATGGTAAAAAACTTTTTTCTTCGCTTTTCTATCCTTTTGAGTACTTTTCTTGCACTGTCACTTTCTGTAATATCTTTTTCTTGATCTTTTACCGCGACTTTTCCAGAAACAAACTTTTGAAAATCAAGTTGAAAATTGGTATTATCTGTTTTCTTCATTTCATTGCCAATAAAGGAAGTGTTGGTCCAATGTACTTTTACGTCAGATAGTATGGTGATTTTGTTATTATTTTGGGCTCTATTTGATGAATTTTTCATATTTTGTGATGCTTCAGCTGCTGATCTATTCAGGAATTGATTAGTAGGGGAAGGTGTTCGAGGATTTGTCACTTCTCGAAGGACTTCGTTCGTCGTGTTTTCATTTAAGAAATCTTGTAGATGTTCAGGATCGACATTTTCATAAAGACAAGATAAGTTCATAAATCCAAGATGGTAGTTATGTGAACATATATCACCGTTTTCACACAAGAAGCAACTTAGTTTTCGGAAGGTTATTCGAAGCCTATCAAATGACCAAAGCACTTGATGCACAGACATAGTTCTACGAAATCCTTGAACTGACGAGGGAAATTTTCTGTCTTCAATATCTTGCTCTGAGACAGACAGAAGTTTGACATTCTTTACCTTGACTTGAATGAGCTCCCAAAAGGCTTTTAATTGTGCCAATGTCATTACCGAACCGTACAATTTGATCTGCGGTTCTCTTCAGGACAGCGCCAACTCCATCTGGCGCTCCTTTGCCGTGTCCGGCCTCTAAATAGTTCCAGGTTATAAAGTTTAACTCTGGAAAATCCTGTTGCAGTTGACTAATAACGAAGAAAATGTAGCGATTCCTATATTGACTTGAAGGGCTGTCAGATACGAAATGTACTGTATCTATCAGAGGTGATATTTCCCTTACATAACCTAGTAGTGGTATGAGATGTGCCCATATAGCACTTGCGTCATGTCTATTACATTCGCTGATACTGCAAACGCTGTATGACTTCATGATTCCAGTTTCTGGATCAATTAAATACGCAACCGCAGTATGCAATGTTATTTGCAATCGACTACCGCCGAAAAGATAGCTTTGTATCTCCTCATTAAATTTGACAGAGTAATTTTCGGAAAAATCTATGTGTAACATAACCTCCTTGGTAGTCATTGTCGCTTTCAGAGACTTAATGCTCTTGTACTGAACAATGATGTTAGTATAATGTTTAAAGTATGATTTCAGAGAATCTTCCAATTTTTTGATAACGTTTCGAGGGTAATCTTGTAATAGAGTTTTTACGGTAACAATTTTTGTTTTATCTTGTCCTTTCACATTGTAGGTTTCTTTTTTTGCGCACCACTGATAATAGTTTATTTGCTCTTCATTGTTAAATTCTTCATAGTTAACTACTCTGTTTCGACATACCTCACATGTTCGATTTAAGTATTCTTCATTGTGTATATCACAGCACAAGCTTTCCAATATAGCAGTTCCATTTGCCTCTTTAGTGATTCTTTTCTTGTTAAGACTTTTGACTAATAAATCAAAATTTACGTGTATTTTACAAGCACATGTATTACGATCAGATTCTTTTGGATAGAGAACCCGAAATGGTCGATATTTACAGAACGTAGAATATCCAATATTACTGTTTTGAACGTGCATAAACTTTTTATGGAGGTTGGTTAATGTGTCCAATAAATAGCGTTTTTGCTTTCTTTGTCCATTACGTGTGATAAATTCTTTTTTATCAGGGGAAATTTTAGTAATGCATTCGTCTTCGAAAAATTCTTCTACGTATTGTTTGATTTTACTCTCTGTATCCATGTTTGATTCATTGCTGTGACATATTTTATTTTTATCTCGCACTGTAAATTTTGACGATTTACCTAAAACCTTGTGCTTCTTGAAACGGTCTTTGTCCCTCATGACTATATCGCTAAACTCTCGTTTTTCTTTCTTTCTTAAAACTTTAAATCCATCTCTTAAATTGTTCGATATAATTTCTCCAAATAATATTTTTTTCTTCACTTCTTCTCGTTTGTCTTCGTTTATTGATTTTATCAAATTATCCACTTTCTCACCTGTCGATGGTTTTGCTTGTATTTTTCGTTGTTTATTTATTTGCCTCATCAACATTTTTCTCATTGCATCCTTTTCTTTAATAACTTTTTCCTTTTCCTGTTTCAGTTTACCAATCTCTTTCTTGTAACTATAACGAAGTCTTCTTATTAACTTATCCTTTTTTTGACACCGTTTGCAGTTTATGTTAGACACCTCAACTGATTGGTGTGATGGCCCTTCTAATGGGTCTTGGTCAGCATCTACATTTTCTTCTCTATCACTTGTTGGAGGTGAATTATCAATCAGCATCTGTTGTATTACCCTTTCCTTTTTCTTTTTCTCTAAATAACGCCTACTATTTTCGTTCCATTTTTTTCTTTGAAGTCTTTTTTCCCTTGGTGTCATTTTAGCAACAGATTTTATTTTATTTTGTTCTTTTCGCTTCAAGTATCTCTGTCTCTCTTTTTCCTTCTGAATTGCATATTTCTCGGGATCGTTTTTAATTTCCTCGTATTTTTTCCTTTTATGTAGCCTTGCTTGAGCAAGCTTTTCTTCGCAAGTTTTTTTAGTTTTCGTTTTAGCCATACTCGTTTCCTGAAAAGGATAATATTTGTTAGAAACCCTATTATGAAATCTTACATTAAGGTGATAATAGGGGCCATTTTTTTTTTAAATGAACAGGAAATATCTTATAAATGACCTCTTCTTAATATTGAATGCCTGTCCACTACTTTTAATTTTGTCTTTTAGTTTTAGGTACCATTTTTAACAAAAGTGGCCACTATTAGCAAAAACGCTACTAAAACTAAAATGAAGCGTTGTGGAGAGACATTCATTTGATAGATAGCGTTTATTTGATACCCATGTAGCTATGGTAAGAAAAAAACAATTCCTCCCCCTCCCCCTGCACTTTTTACATTTGCGAGCACCATTTTCAAGATTTATATAGCCTATGTCACTACCACAATTTTGAAAAATTCAACGATACCTCATTTGTCAAAAACCGTCCAGCCATTTAGGTTGTAGAGCGTGCCAAAGAAATGGACATATACATACATACAAACATACGCTCGAAAAACATAACCCTTCTTCTTACGCAGTCGGGTAAAAAACATATTAATAGGGTTGAATATAATATCTCATAGAATAACATGAAAAATTCATTACCGTCATTTCAGTCTCATTACCCTCACCTTCAAAGCTGATGGTAATCGATGGTAATGAAAGTGAGGGTAATGAATTTTTCAAACTATTTGTCAAATTACTCTGCAATTAATCGATAACGGTACATGATGATAATTATAAACATGAACACACATACAACAAATGAATTAAAACGAAAAGTATAAAAAAACCACAACTACTTACGTCAAAAATCCGCTGAATGTAATGAAACTAAAATTGGTTGAAGCGCCTAGTTGTCGAACTTTTTTAACAGTCGCGAAAAAAAAGGCGCGCGTCCTGCCCCTTTTGTTGTTGCTGGCAGACTGACCGGCAAATACGGAGGCGGGAGGGGGTGCTCGATCCAGGTACGATGCATTTAAAGCACGATGTTTGATATTTCAAGATAGGCTGAAGGTAATGTAATATTTTTTACGACAAATTGTTTTTATCACAATGTATGAAAAATTATAACAAAATTATAACTTGCAAAATCATAATTAATTTCCTTATTATGTTCTTGAGGTTTCTCAAGTAACAATATGCAGCATAAACCTCTACGTATATTTAAATAAAAATGTTTTTCTTACTCGTCGCAAAAAAGACGCTGAGGGTAATGAAATTTAACCAACTAAAATATTATTTTGAGTCAGTATCTCGTCATGATTAATGTTAATTCTTATTGGCATTAAAAGTAAGGCTCCCCAATTATAGATAAAACATATTTGTGGGCTTTTAGGATGTTTAGATTCGCCAAAAAATTCACGGACAATACGGACATGTGATTTGCACGAAATCAGAGAAGTACCTAACAACGCAAAAAAGACAACACAATATTTACCACAAATGAAAAAATGTTTTACAGAAATATACAAAAACTCCAAACCGACTCACCAGCAGAAACTCACATAGTTACTCCTACAAGTGTCGTAAGAGGCGACTAAGGGAGCAAACTACGCAGGACAACAGCACTGCAAAGAGAAGGAAAACTTGTCATAAACCGTATACCAACCCGTCTGGCCAGCGTGGCATAGTAGGCCAAAACCTCCTTTCTAAGGAGAGGCCTATGTCCAGCAGTGGACTATTAAAGGCTGTTGATGATGATGATGATGATGATGATGATATGGGAAGAACAAGTTCAACACAACGATAGAGCAGGTTGGATAACAGAAGAAACAAACACATAGACAGCGATTGAAGAAATGGAATTTATAGAGTTCACAAAAACTGACATTACAGATAAAACAGCTGGATTACATAATATAGGAATAGATAAAATACACAATTTTTGGTACAAGAAGCTGAAGTCCTTACATAAATACATAGCAAAAAAATTAACAGAGATCATTTTAGGACAACGGAATATACCGGAATTTATTGCAACAGGAATAACATACAGGCTACCTAAAACTAAATACACACCACAGCCTTCCCAATACAGACCAATTACATGCCTACCTACTATTTACAAAATTTTAACATCAGCAATCTCCGTTAAAATTAACTCACATATTAACAACCATAACATAATAGCCGAAGAACAGAAGGGGTGTAGACGGGGCCACATGGGATGTAAAGAACAGTTAATTATGGACTCCACTATTCACAAACATGCCAACATAAAAAATAGAAATCTACATTGTACCTACATAGATTACCAAAAAGCATTTGACAGCATACCACATTCTTGGTTAATACGGGTTTTAGAGATATATAAAGTTAACTCTAGAATAATATATTTTTTGCGCAGTATAATGACACACTGGAAGACTACATTGCAACTAAACAATGGCCGTAATACTCTTAAAACTCGACGGATACAAATCAGGAACGGTATATACCAAGGAGATTCCCTTAGCCCATTGTGGTTCTGCCTCGCTCTGAATCCCTTATCTCACTTATTGCACCGCTGTCAAGCTGGGTATCAATTTAAAAATAGCACTCAAGAATTCCTTATTTCACACCTTATATATATGGATGACATTAATTTTTTTGCGAATACTGAACAACAAATGAAAACCCTTTTAGCAACAACTCAATTCAGTAATGATATAAACATGCAGTTTGGGTTCGAAAAATGCAGGACAGTACATACTCGTATTATAAAAGGCAAAGTAAAACCGGGCAACTATGCAGTTTACAATACTGATATTATAGAAGCTATGGAACCAACAGACCTATATAAATATTTAGGATACCATCAACTTAAAGGACTCGATCACACAGCAATTAAAGATACATTGAAATTAGAATACCGCAGGAGAATTGGCGCACTGTGTAAGTCCCAATTATCTGGTAAAAATCTCATAAAAACCTTAAATATTTTTGCAATACAAATACTTACCTACTCATTCGGAGTGGTAAAATGGACTAAGACATCAATCGAACAACTGGAAAGAACAATAGGCACAATACTCACAAAACACAGTAAGTTTTACGTAAGTTTACAAGTCCGTAAGTTTACAACTGGAGATGCCACTGCATTCCACCAAATTTTATGACCAATCCTTCACTGTTGAAGTTGTGCGCTTGTGGAATGCACTGCCGCTTAACATCAGGCAGGCGCAAACATTAAATAGATTCAAGAAAATGGTACAGGAATTTTATTCACCTTAAGAGTCCATCACGCTGGAGGGTGTAACGAAACTGTTTCTCTTTTCTATATGTTTATTCATTTAAGAATGCGTATATATATGTATGTGTATATGTATATCTGCTGGTATAGTATGTAGGTACTTATATATATGTAGGTTTATTCATTGTGATATGCATTGTAGATGTAAGTATAAAAATTGTGAATGTTTGTAGATAATATGATATGTGTAGTATATGTAATATGTATAGTAGATAATGGTAAACAAATAGTAGGTTCACAAATGCAGATATTCAACTACTACTGTACTGCTGTACTGTACTACTGACTGCACGGATGGCGTAGTGGTTTAAGCGGTCGCCACGCCGCTTCCTACTGCGCCGAGTGTTGTGGGTTCAAACCCCACATGGGACGACACTTTGTGTGATCCACAAATTGTTGTTCCAAGTCTGGGTGTTATTTGTGTCCGTTTCATGTATGTTTGTAAAGTCCCCCGCGACACAGGATATTTTCCTAATGCGGGAGTTGTCTTTTTCAAAAAACAAAAAAAAAAACAAACAAAAAAAACTGTCTCTCTGCAACTTTTGATCCATCCAAAGGTTGCCTGGAAGAAATTGCATTTAGCAATAAGGCCGCCCTTTGTACACTCGATATTTGATCGTTGTGTTCCTTTCTTGAAACTCTGTAATTTAGTGTGCAAATAAAGAGTTATCTATCTATCTATCTATCAAAACACAATAACCTTCACCCAAAATCAGCTATAGAGAGACTCACTATCAAAAGACAGAACGGAGGCAGAGGCCTAATAGACATCCAACACCTTTGGCTAAAACAAATAAATAGGTTAAGAACATTTTTCTACACAAAGTCTCACACCAGCGATATTTACAATGCCATTAATATAAAATAAATAGTAATAATATTAATATAATATAAAATAAATAGTTTAAACTTTTTCTACAACACTATTAACTCAGTTATAGATGGCTGCGTTCCGAAAAAAAAGCGAAGTCCTGTAAACTCGAGGTATGTTTACCCTGAGTGGTACACTATTAAAATTATTCGCGACATACGACTAAAAGCTGTTCTTCATAAACAGTATAAAAAGAGTGGCTTACATTGTGATTACGAAACGTTCGCTCAGTGCAGAGCTAAGGTGAAAAAAAGTATCACATATGCGCGTAAACAGTACCAACATCGTGTTCAAAATGTATTACAGAAAGATCCAAAATCCTTTTGGAATTACGCTAAATCTATGCGAGGAAGTAGAATTCCCAACTGATATTAAAAAATGGGGAAGCCTTAACGGATGACCTGTACGGTGCAACGCCCGTACAAGCTGCTGCGTCGGCAAATTCATATACAGCGCGGATTACACGCGTTATAATATTCAGTTCGCGATCTAGCCGAATCGGGTAAAGACACGGGCTCCACCAAACGTGCTCCGCGGTCATTGTGTCTCTATTATAATTTTTATTCTATATTACTATCTTTTGCGACCTATGGACAAATTGGTCCTTTGAGGTAGAACTTCGCGCATCGGAGAATAGTAACGGGCAATATTGCTTAAATCAGTGAACGCGTGGCGTCGTATAAGCACAAGGGACACGTGCCGTAGTTTGGTGATTCTAAACTATCAGTGGTCTGAAGGGAGCAGTAAGCAGAGCGTAAGCAGAGCAGATAGGGAGCAGTAGTCAGCATTATTCAAGTAAGATCTTTCCATATTTTTCTTAAGCACAATGGAAATGGAAAATTTATTTTTGAACCAACAGGAAATTACAGAAGCTATTAAAAAGTTTTTGAAAAATTTACAAAAAGCAGGATTAGAACG